AGCCAGTGTCATTCTGCATTGCAGTATAATGCATTGCTGGGATTTGTAGTCCTCTATAGCCAGTGTGATTCTGCATTGCTGTATAATGCATTGATGGGATTTGTAGTCCTCTCTAGCTGATGGTTTTATCCTGCATTGCTGTATAATGTATTGCTGGGTTTTGTTGTCCCTCTACAGCTTGGAGTCAGTCGCAGAATTATCTGGGTCGCAGCGGTTTCTGCTGTGACCAGGCTCTGGCGCTCCACCACTGTCCTAAAATCATTAGCCTGTATTGTTTTAGAAAAAACTGTCACATGACAAATAAAAAAGGTATCAGAAATTGGTGAGCACTTGAGGAAAAGTATCGCTACTCGTACTCAGTCTTGAAAAAAATGGTATCGGTGCATCCCCGAATAACATGCACAACAATGTTTTTCTTTAAGGGTACTTTTACTTGGCAATGTGTGTGTTGACATGCGTTGCATTGGATTGCGTTGCATTGTTTTTGGCTGAATTTTCCACTAAGCTGTAAAAGTTGTTGGTTTTGACTTCCGTCAATGTGCAGAGATTTACAAATGTTCTCTTTTATGGAGCTTATGTTATTTAGCAGGGATGTAGTGCAATAATAATCTGCTATGTCAGAGCATATCTGTGGCAGAGGTAGGCAACTAGCTGTGGTCATACTACAAGTCTCATCATACCTATGCCTCTGGGAGTCATGTCTGTGGCTGTCAGAGGCTTGCAGTGCATCATGGGACTTGTAGTTTCACAAGAACTGGAGTGCAAAGGGTGCCCACCCCTGGTCTACGGGTATAATTAGATTCGCTATTACAGAGGTGGGCAACTCCAGCCCTCCAGCTATTGTGGAACTACAAGTCCCATGAGGCATTGCAAGACTGTCAGTTACAGGCATGACTCGGAGAGGCAAAGGTATGTTGGGATTTGTAGTTAAAGCACAGCTGGAGGGTCAGAGTTGTTTACCCCTGTCTTATCAAAACTCATTCGTATGGGTACAAATACAGGTGCATGGGCATACAGTGCATTATTCTGTATGTGGTAGTTCCCAGGAGCTGCAAATACAGGCACATGGACATACAGGTAATACGCCTGTATATACAGAACCCGAGAGCCCCAGCCGCTGCATTTTTTAGGTCCATAGGATTTTATGGACAGAATACACTCTACGCAGGTACATGCAAATGCAAGTACTGCTGCTTCCACATGCATGCATATGGGTGTTCATTCCTGAATGTGGAAGTATCACGTATTTTACCCTGTATGCCCACACGCCTGTATTTGTTTCTGTTTGAATGAACCCTTTACAGTTGTCATCCTGTAACAGGAAGTGCTGTTACTGGCAGGTTCTCCAGAATAAGAAACTTTGCAACAGAGTGACCAAAAAAAATAAATGATTTTCTTACATGTATACAATGAAGCATGATGCCAAACAAACGGAGAAAATAGATTTTGGGTTTACAACGACAAATTATCTTTCCAAAAAAAATAATTATCATTGCCATGGCACCAAACTGACCCCTATGAGAGAGTGTCTGCCTCATCCCATACACACAAGGAAAGACACATGTTGTACCCAGGTGAATGGTTGGTTTGGGTTTAGTGTTATTGATCTTCCGCAGTTGTAGGATATGAAATACATATGTACATATTGACACAGGAGAGAAGGGCTCCGCACATACTGAATCCCTTTGTTTGCAAAAGCACCTGCAGAACCCGAGTAAAATGATGCAACCGCTGATAGTGACCATTCATTGACATTTGAGGTATATACTGTATATGGCCACGGCATGTTATTTGTAGAGGTAATTGCTCATTCACAAAAAAATCCATACAATACAACACCAACGCAGGTATAGAGGCGCTCACAGGTCACGGGTCTTGCAGCTAACAGCTGGAGTGCCGAGGATGCATACCCCTAATATATAGTATGCACAGTAAATCTTAATAAGTCAATAGAAAGATTGCGTATTGTAAAAAAAAAAAGCCATCTTGAAGGTTCAGTAACTTATAGCGCGGGCTCAGAAGAAGCACTTGCCAGGTTAAGGTTTTGGCAGTGAGAACCAACTGCTGCATACGCCATGGCTAAGTGATAATCGGATTATTATATTCCACTAGTTAAAACAATCTCTTTGTGGGAGAGTGGGACATTCTTCATAGAAAGGACATCGGGACAATCAAATGCACATGGAAGGGAATTTATTAACACTGGAGCAGACAGAATCTGGAGCAGTCGCCCATGGCAACCAATAATATAATAGCAGTACAGTGGCTTAGTGGTTAGCACTTCAGCATTGCAGCACTGGGGGTCTCTGGGTCAAATCTTGGTCAGGACACTATCTGCATGGAGTTTGCATTTTCTCTCCCTGTGCTTGCATGGGTTTCCCCTGGTTTCCTCCCACACTCCAAAGACACCAGGTTGACTTCTGTTTAAATCAGCCCTAGTATGTGTATGTATGCATGTGAGATGGGGACCTTAGACTGCAAGCTCCTTGAGCACAGGGACTGATGTGAAGGTGCACTATGTAAAGTGCTACGTAAATTGTTTGCACTATATAAATACCTGGAATAAATAAAGGGAGACACTACAGCTTCAATACAAGAGGGTTAGGAGGGTCCAGCTTGTGAGAGTGTACAATCTAAGGCCTGGTTCACACCTGTGTGTTTTTGCAGCGCGTTCCTACGCTCTGTAAAACGCTCAACATGTGAAAACCAATGATTGCCTATGGGCATGGTTCCCACCTGGGCGTTTTACAACGTGTAGAAACGTGCTGCAAAACGCCATACGGCCAAAGAAGTACAGGAGCTTCTTTGGGGCGTATTTGCCGCGCGTATCCATTGGGATACAGCCAGGTACCCCTCAGAAACGCGCATGTGTCGCGCGTTTTTTTAATGCGAATCGCGTGGCACGAAGCGCGCGATAAGCGTGCATATTCAATACGCCTAGGTGTGAACCCAGACTAAAAGCTACATATCTGACATTATAACGCAGGGCAGTAAAAGAATCAGTTTGGCATATAGGATTTACTATCCGTCTTCTTCCTTATATACATTGGCTTCCTTAACAATAATTCCTTCCAAATAACAATATTAAAAATGTCCTCATTACCATGGATGTGTAAACAGAGAAGGCACTGTCAACCCTGAAGACAATTTTGTATGGCAATTATGTTTGGAGCATTTCCTTTTCACTTTGACAAGGCATAAAGGAAATTAAAGGTACGTTTCATTTACTGCACGTGTCAAACTTTTGATGAAGGCAGAGTTGAGCTTTAATAAGCTGGGATGCAGGGCAGGACCCTCCGCACCATCTTGTCTTAAATTGTATTGTAACTGTAATGTCTTCCTTATATTGTAAAGGACTATGCAAACTGTTAGCACTATATAAATCCTGAATAATAATAATAATAATAATGATGATGATGCAAAAATAGACAACATAGCTTTCCAGCTGTGGTGGAACTACAGGTACTAGCATGCTCCGCTGCCATTGCAAAGTTATCAGCTATCTTGGGGACCTTTTGTTTAACTGTTGGCACCATATAAATCCTGAATAATAATAATAATAATACAGAGCTAGACAACATAGCTTTCCAGCTGTGGCAGAACTACAGGTCCTAGCATGCTCTGCTGCCCTTCCTGAGTTACAAGCTGTTTTGGGGACTGTTTATTTAACCGTTGGCAATATATAAATCCTGAATAATAATAATAATAATAATAATATTAATGATGATGATGCAGAGATAGACAACATAGCTTTCCAGCTCTATAGGTTGAACTTGATGGACATTTGTCTTTTTTTCAACCTGACTAACTATGTAACTATGTACCTGTGGTGACAGGTCCTAGCATGATCCACTGCCATTGCAGTTATCAGCTGTCTTGGGGACCATT